CTGCCCCTCCCAAGTTTCGCTGCGTCCGACTTGCTCCGGGGGCCCTTCGGCGTTCCTCGACAAGGAAGCATGGCCCCTCGCACCGCATCCACAGCCTCGGCGGGCCAGTCCTCCCGTCGCCACCCAGCTTCATGTGCGGGCCTCGTCTGCCAGCCTACCATCTCCAGCACGGACACGAGCGATGATGACGAGGAGACAGACTCATCTAAATTCCCCGGACTGACCCCCTTCTACGACACAGTCACGGCGATCCAAGATCCGCAGGGCGACGAAAAGGTCTTGCCTGACGTCGAGATCTGCTGATCCGACATGCTGCCGGCCACGTCGTTGGCATGGGGGGCGGCCTCCATCCGGCAGTTGCGCGGCAGGTCGGGTGCCGGGCGAGGCCGCATGCGAAACGGGTCGCGAGAGGGGCGGCCGGTATGCGGCCTGTCGAGGTGCGACTCCTGGATGACGCGTCTGGAGGATTCGTCCCTGCATCAACAGAAGAAGCTGAAGACTTCGCGTCTCATATGAGAACTGTCTGAAAACCACGTCATCGTCACTGTATCAATGGAGGGCTTTCGCTATGTGCCTAGGATCGAAAGGAGGACAGGGAGTTGTGTCTAGTTTGCGCTGGCAGCAGAAAGAGCGGCGCAGATCCGCTTGGTCACGTTGTTTCAAAGATAAACTTGCAACTGACATGCCATGCATGTTGTAAGAAGCCTGACACCCTCCCTGTGCCTATGCATGCATCTTCGGCATAGACAGCGTGGCAACACCTCTGATGTGAGTAGATACTAGACGCAAGAGCTGTACATGGCCGGACGGACGGCACTGAGCTATGCCTTAGACAGACACCACGTTACGCCTCTTTCAACTCCTTGCTTCACCCCCATGGCAATCCACTCGGCATGGCCATGTTGGTGATCATGGGTTCACCCCGCTGGCGCTGGAAACACGCTCGCATCCGCAACGTAGAGCCCTCTGTCCCAAACACCCTGCCCTTCGGAGTCGACGACACCCTCATCTCGTGCGCCATGCGGCAAGTGCCATCTGATGCGCAGAGTGAGAGGCGTTTGGGGGCTTGTTTCCCACCACCCTCACGCGCTCCAGCCATGCTGTGAACGCAGGGTCGTTCACGCCCGCCTCTTCGCCCTCTTCGTTCTTAGCCTCGCCCCGTATGAAGGGCTCCAAACCCGGGAAGAACGCGTGAATCTCCTCTGCACCCTCGACATAGCAAATTTTGGCCAGGGCGATGACACCCTCAGCGTATGCGCGCCGGTCGAAATCAGACGGCGTGTAGCGATGCGTGGCCTGCCGGTGCGGGAGTCAGGGTACACGTAGCCTGGATCGCGCTCACGAGTGAGCGCGATGAAGCCGCCGAAATGTCGGTACTTGAGTGCGGCCAGCTTGGACGAGAGGCCGCTGTGCCAAGGCATGCTTGTGAGGACAGTGTAGGGCTGAAAGTGATTAGCACAGCAAGATTCACGGGAATGAGAAGGCGACGTACGACGGCACAAGTTGGCTCGAGTTTCACGCCGTGGCCAGCGTTGTCGAGGTTCTCAAAGGCGGTGCAGTAGCTCGTGATGATGCCGCCTGACTGGTTAGCAAGGAGAGATGATCCGAAAGTTTGGATGTGCTTACCCTCCCACGGTGTAACTTCCTCTTTCCAGTAGGCGCCAACCATGTTACACGGATGAACATAGAGGTTTTGGCCAATATGTCGGTTCTAGACAAGGTCAGCGTTGCGCCCACAGTCTCTAAAAAAGAAGACACTCACAGTAAGGCCACTATTGAGCAGGACAAGGGGACTCCAGAGCGAACCACAGGCCACTATGACCTTCTTGGCCTTGATCACGACCTTTCGCGTGGTGCGCTCCGACGATGGACTGCTGACACCACCAGTGGCGTCCCTGGATACCCAGGTTCCCACGACGCCTGTCGCCTTCTTGGCCCCATCCGTCGTGTCAAAGGTCACCTCGTTCACCTCCAGACCCTCGATACATTCGGCACCAGCCTCTGCAGCCGCAGGCAGCCAGCTGACAGCAGTTCCCTTCTTGTCAGCCGACCCACATCCGAGATGGCACCGGCCACAGTAGTGTTCCGTGCCGCCCGTATTTTGCGGCGCCGCAGCTGCATGCCACCCCAACTTGCGGGCCCCGTCAAGCATCACTCGATTTCTGTGGTTGTGGCGCACATGGTCTGAACTCACGCCCATCACGTCCGACACCTTGTCGAGACAGCTCTGAAACTGGGCCGAGGTGAAGAACGGCAGCCCTTTCTTGGCCCACTCACTGCGCACGAAGCCCTGGGTCTGCAGCGACACGCTCCAGTTGATGTTCCCGCCACCGCCCCAGCAGCTGCCAGCAACGAGGTTGAGGCAGCTATCGTCGCTGCCCAGAAACCCGCCACCCTCATAGAGGTACTGGCAGCCCATGTCCTGGGCGAGTGGCAGCTGGGCGGCGGGGAAGTGGTAGGATTTGTCGACGACGAGGACGCGATGGCCGGCCTCAGCGAGGTGCTTGGCAACAACGGCGCCACCACAGCCCGAACCGACGATGACAACATCCGTCTCGAGTGACACGGCCTCGTCGGAGGCGGGGAACTGCATAAAATTGAATTCATAACTGTCAACGGGCTTGTGGTCGCTGGGCATGTCGGTGTAACCGGTAAGCTCTTTGAAGAGGGGGCTCGTCTGCAGGGTAGCCTTCTGGGCTAGGCTGGTGAAAACCTTGGTGAGCACTCGCATGGAGCTGAGACGGGAGGTTTGCCAGCCCTGGAGGATGTCTTCGCGGATGTGGAGTGGCTGCTGGTTAACGGCGGTGAAGTAGCCAGTGAGGAACCAGCTTCCGGTGGGGCCGCTATTCATGTTAGTCTGGCATTGGGA